TGTCATCATTATCGCTTGAACATTTTCCATTCGGAATTCTCCACATGGCGCACCGCTCCACAACTGATTCTCATGGGGTGATTCTCTATCAACACATAGGCAGCATCGGATTCAGAACCTATCCTCCTCCCGTGCCGGCCGGAAAATCACACGACCGATCGGGCTCATTTATCGATCGGTCTAATGGTTCAGCCGCAACAAGGGACCTGGCGCTTGCCCAGCTAACCCGAGCGAGAAACCACACCTTTTTTACAGCTGTGAGTCTCAGGTAGGTCTAGTGAACTTCGACTGTGCAGCAGGAGTGCCATCAGCACACAAATGGACTGGACGTAAACACAAGGGTATTCGAAAACGTACAAACCGGTAGTCAGACAGTCTCGTGTTGGGGTGAGGGATTTCAGGCGCCGCAGATCGCGGAATATGATCCACTCAGATGGCATTAGGGGTCAGAGGGAATTCACCTGTTAAGGTCACGGGTGAGAGGGAGGAGACAATCGAAAACGATGGAGCAATCGCACCGGATATTAAGTTCCCAAGATTCTACTTAAGGATACTGCCTCAATCTGCACATTACTCGATTGCTGAATCATTGTCGTTATTCGGGTACCTAAGATTGGTTTGCTTTTCACTCACATTCATGCGGTAACATACTGTCCACTAAGCATGCCCACTTGATTCACGCATACAGAACTGTTGATCGAGGTGAGTTGACCTCATTGAATGACCGACACATTCTCCTATGACGATATCCTACCAACTTTCTCCATGTGCACATGTACATGCGGAATAGATCCAGTGGATTAGGCCGTACGCCCGATTGGACAACTTGATCCCCATGTTTGAACCAATGGAAAACAAATAGCACTATCGAAGACAACTCGAAGCAAAAGTAAACCCAGTACACCGAATGAACTGAAGTCAAACCTAACAGAGCGATGCACACTAGGTGAGCACAGTGGTTCAAAATGTTCCTATTTTGATTTGTACCAATGCAATCTTTTTCACCATGAACATAAAACTCTATGATGGCGTTCGTTGCGTACCGCCAATATGTTTGGTGTATCTCAACTTTTGTACACCTGTTCCCATCAAGCCTTAGCAAAAACTCGTATTGCTTTAGCCGCGACCCCTAGTCTTGAAGTGGTTCGTGGGTTTGAGGCTGTTGCCCAAATGTCCCGGGTCCCTGAAGGATATTTGTCCTTTCTTTTCGTTGTAATTTGTCTAGAACAGAGAGTACTGAAGATTCCTTTAGCCTCGAGAGACAACCAGTAGTCAAGCTGCAGTGGGCGATTCAGATTAAAAAGTATCGGAATATGCTCTAAGGTTAATGGGTATCGAAAAAAAGATTTTCTACATATGTTAACGTTACGAAGCTTGGTTAAGAAATGAGGTGTGGGGGTCGCACGCTGCAGCACATGTTGATTGGAGAAGCTTTAATCGATGTACCCGTACCGTCAAACCACTTGGCACATCTCGTACAGCTTCAGTGTTTCTGTATAAAATGCGATACTCCTAGGAGTAGAAATCTCAAGCGTAACTCAAATGGTATGTTATTTTGCATTCACTGGTGAACTGTGTCCATGAGAATTGGATACATAAACATGTCGAGGACAATAAACACCGTTCACAAAAAATACAAACCTATAACTATCATTAGTTTGTCAAAGCTGCAACATTTGACATTATTACCACGATCGCGGCTCAAGAATTACGGTTCTGGACTACAGCTTATTGGGAAACGGTGTGCTAAAGGGGGTCTTTTGTGAACAGTGTTTATTATCCTCGGCCTGTTAATATATCCACATCGCAAGAGCAGAGTTCCCCCTCAAGTGGATCAACGGAACGGTAAGAATTTACTTTCCTGGTATCACTTTTTGATTTATTTCAGGTTTTGTGAATGTAAAACAACGAACCGGTTGTCACACTTGAGATTTTTTACTCACACAGGAGTATTGCATGTTATACAGAAACACTGAAACTGTACGAGATGTGCCGGATGGTTTGACGATACGGGCACACCTTCTCCAGTTGACGTGGGGTACAGCGTGCGACTGCCACACCTTATTTCTTCACCAAGCTTTGCAACATCCCTCAACTTCAGAATATTTCGATACTTTTTGATATGACCCGCCTACTGAGTAAAATTTGTGCACCGAGGCTAGGGGGTTACGGGTCATGGCAAAAGCTATGTGGGTTTTGGTTAAAGGACTGTGATTCACGGCTAAATCGTGATGGGTTTAGGTGCAGAACGCTGTTTTTCTTTTGTGAACTATGTGAATGAGGTGTAGTAAGTTGTGGTCCCATCACAATAATGCATGCACGAACGCACAAAAGCATAAGAGACTTCTTTTTAGTCCCGTTCAGATTCTTTGTATTAACAGGACAGTAGCTCGATTCACCTGGGCAGTGAACAACCGTGCGCACTGCCTCCCCTCTAGAACCACATTTGAAAAAAACCCGAAGCTAATGATTAGGTCATTTGAAAGAACCGGCGCCCGAGGACTCGTGTGGTAAAACTGGACGGATGGCGGGGGTGAATGAACCTCAACGGTCAACAAACAGTACAGCATTAAAAAATTTCTTTGAGCATTTGTAATGACCCTTTCCGCTCATGTACCTTTTCCGTCTTCCGGACCTTGTTGTTTTACCGGACCAAGATTACCTCGTTGGTCACGGTACGTTGACTTTCACTTTCTGCACGCTTCTCTCTCTACTCTCCAGCTCACTAAAATACAACCGTCGTTGAGGTTTCGTGATATCAGTCGTTCTGCTTTGGTCCGTTACCTCGTCTGTTGTTAGACGTACGAATTCGTGGGTATCATTAGCCCAGAGACTAAACATTATAGCCCAATAAAAGTGAAGAACGCCACTGCTGTCGATCCGCTGTTATCTCCTTCAGTGTTACAAACCCATCAGCTGCAGACGTCTGGCAGCGTTTAGGGAGACAAAACCCACAACCAATAGGCAGGATTTCGGCCAGGTCGCGGTAGCATCGATCAAATCTTCACTCTACGTCAATTTCTCGAGCTATGCCATACGCTCCGTCGATCAACGGCTGTCGTGTTCCTTGACCTAAAAGGAGCCGTCGACTTAGTTGATCGGGAATTCCTTATGGGTTCGCTCGTTCGCAAAGGAATGCCGCAGAAGTAAGTCAACACACTGAGTTCACTATACTCGCATACCTCTGCCAGCGTAAGGGTTTACGGCGAGCTAAGTAAATCGTTCAGCAGCGGTGTTCGTCAAGGGTGCACTCTTTCGCCATTCCTGTTCAGTTTCGTCATAGACGAAATACTGGAGAACACATCTAATGGTCTCTAAAATGTAGGTATTGAATGGGTAGCTGGAGAAAAGCTGTGCGATTTGGAGTACGCTGACGACATCATTTGCTTGTTCTAATGTACGGAGGATGCACAAAGAGCACTTGACAAATTATCAAGTTCTGTCGCTCCGTTCGGCATGTGCTTTGCACCGTCAAAGTGCGAAGTGATGCTACAAGGCTCGCTGTCGCCGAGCTCTGCTCTGAAACTAGACGGTCAGGAATTAGCTGAAATTGACTGTCTCTCGTACTTAGGTAGCTGCGTGACCAACGACGGTAGAGCAACAAAGGAGATAACCACCCGCATTTCCGAAGCTCAAGCAGCGTACGCGTGACTTAAATCCCTGTGGTGGCGACGTGATGTTTCACTGAAGTTGAAAAATTGCGTATACTGTGTCACTGTACGATCAGTTCTGTTTTACAGTTGTGAGACCTTGAGTTTGCGGGTAGAAGAGTTCCGTCGCCTAGTGGTTTTCGACAATCGATGGATGCGTAGTCTGGCCCAAGTGAGATGGAGTGAGCGGGTTAGTAACCTAGAAGTATGTCGTCGAGTGTTTGGGAATAAATCGAACAGGGACTCGCTATCGCATCGAATTCAGCTTAATAGGGTAGGACACATTTTGCGTGTCTGAAGGTCGCCTACTGCAGCGCGTCTTATTCGCGGAGGCTGTTACAGGCTGGAGAAAGCCACACGGAGGCCAACAGATGACGTGGAGAAATGCACAGAACGATTAGGTAGAATAGGTGTCTCTCGTCTTTTGGGTTGGGGTTTTAAAAGACTTCGTAACCGCATGGTTTGGAGATACTGAAGACCATGGTTGCGAATCGACAACAATGGCAATCTTGCTGTCACTTCTTATCAGTCCAGAATGCTTGAACTAGGATGTATGTACAGTTGGACAGTGTACTGTGTGTTGACCATAGAGGTTCGCCTTCTTTTCCCGTCCCTGAAAATAGGTCTAATCCCAATNATCAGTGAAGTTCGCTTCACTGTATTACGCTGTACAGTGAGGATGATGATGATACTGCAGTCTTCAAGATGCTGGAACAAAAGACAGCTACTCTATCGAACTGCTCCACTGGCTTGTTTCCATGTTCAGGCCTAAGCTCCAGCCCAAGGGTAGAAAACTCGATGTGTTACCAACCCATATACAACGTGCAAAAACGAATCGCAAGAAGCGTGCACATAAAAATCGATGGCAGCATCATTTTCACACACAATGAAAACTGTACAAAACCGAGCAAACAGACAGTGAGTGGTCCGAATCAAATGCCGTTCGCAGGGATCAGCCGGATTTCTTATTTCCCGTCCGGGACCCTTTCTTTTTCATCGGTTTCCGTTTCGGTGTGTTTGCTTTCTTCTGTTTCTTGCCTTTCTTCATCTGTTGTTTTTGTCGTTTGAGCGACTGGACAGAACGTGCATCGACCACCTGACTGAGTTTTGCACGCTGTTTTACTTTCTGCCTAGAAACAGAAAGGAATCAAACAAGGAACAGGAAAGGAGGGGGGAATATCACGAGGGGGACAGTGTGAGGGAAAACCTGGCATGAGAAAGCAATTGAAGCGAGAATATTCAACAGAGATGAATTAGCCAAAGCAATGTAGCTGCTTTGAAGTACTCTACGGCATAACCCTTCCCCAACCCTTTTTATTGATGAGAGATGCAGGCACATGGTCCAATACGAGAAGTTATCGGGGTGAATGAAGCCGTGTTGATTCGAGTTTCGCACTACGCCAAGTATCGATCACCCACAATCGCTTACATCATTGACTTCCAAACTGACTGCGACAATCATGAGAGACAATAGAATACCGGATAGGTTTGTGAGTGATTCGGGCAAACCGCTCGTCTAGGTTGGTGGTGGCGCAGTGATTTAGTCGCTGTCACCGGTGTGCTTTGGACCCTATGGTCCGAGGTTCGAGGCCCACCATCGCCACACAACTTCGGTGGTAGGCAGCTTTACTGTCGTCTGGTTCAATACCACGCCTAACCTATTGGGGCCTACACTCCCGACCAGTAGTGATGGTGATAATGACGTTCCAGGATAAACGTACCCCATCTACACGAAACGGTCAGGGTTGATTTACACGCTTTTTCCAACGCACAAGGATGATTGAAGTGAGTGAAACTTCACGGAGGGGATCCACGAATTGATTAAGGGGCCAAGAACACCGAGAAGCATAGGTATGTCCGTCCACAATGATGATCATGATATATATGTGTGTGTCGGGGTTTTCACATTGGCTGAAGTTCGACGGCTACGCCACAAACCCGACCGTTCAGAACTGTGTTAGACAATGCACGTCTATTCATCATTCGAAAGACTTTATCAAAGATCAGTTTCGCCCATCACGAAGAGACTGCGCATTCACATGTTTCGATAGCTCCAACGCAAACTAAAACTACTGGGCATAACATAATGCAACAGAGTAGTCGTGCAGGACGGCGCTATCTATTGCATCTAGCAGGGTGGTAATAAGTGGACTAAAGCTAAAAACATGCCAACCAGTGTTTAATTATTTGTCTCCTACACCAAATCCTTTCCGCTTGCTGCTAATTCTGATCAGTTGGATTTTACCGGGCAACTCGCTTGTCACTTGCCAAAGATCGTTGTCACGTGGTGTAGCTTACCGTCAAGTGAATTTTGGATGTGGAACCTTTCGATGTGAGTCGGGCCCACAAGTTTGGGATACGTACAATCGACTCCCTAGCGATCGATATTCGCTGCACACTGGAGATATGAACTTAGGCTCCTAGTACTATAAGCCACTCAAGTAAGCCCGGATTTGTCCTCGAGGGACTAGCTCCGCACATCAGTTGATGATGAAAACCGTTCAGTTGATCAGCGTGTAGCAAGTGTTGTTGTGTCAATTGATTGTTGGAGCCGAAGCCTCACTTGTGATCTGGATTCCCGTAGACAGTCAGTTGACGGAGTGTTCGGATAAGTTCCAGGATTTGAGAAACACATTTTGTTGTTTCACGGGGGCTTAATCGGCAATTTAAAGTTTTTCAGGCTGAGTGTGAGATTACTCGAAAGACAGAACAGTGCATAACGTGTATCTTGGTGGCTAGTTGATGAATCTGATAACCTCAGTAGAGCTAGAGCGTAGCAGTGTCGGGTTATGGCTGGTCAGAATTTCCCTTCCACCTCGTCAAATGCCTCTAACAACCAGGTGCCTTAAATAATTTCTGCTGAGGAACTCCTACTCATAGCCTTCATGTGGTGTTGTTTTCCACCAAAAATGAGAGGAAGAAAAGTCAACCTTTGAGGTCGGAAAACCATTGGCAGTTCATCTAGAGCAGTTGATTAGCGGAGCCTTATGTGGTTCGCCAATCCAAGTCCCGAAACTTAGGTTGCCGGTTACTATTACTGAACACCAGGTTTTCGTGACTATGGGGTCCGCCCCGACTGCTGTTCATCACACACACACACAGGTGTGTGTAAGAAAAACCAGAGTCCAAACTAACCACGAAGAGCGGTACGAACCACACCCACCAACACCCTTTTGGTCATATCAGAGGGCACTGGCTCGATGGAGTATCGAGGTGTACTGGACGTTTGAATCCGTCCAAATGGATGTATACACATGGCTGACGCTTCAGTTTGATAGATGTAGTACTTGACACAGTGGTTACAGTTTAACGTTTGTCCAATCTTCATTTTATTTTTGTCCATCTGGTTTAAATGGGATTCACTATACCGCGTTTATTGACTTTGGGCAATCTGGTTGTAGTAGTATGTAGTCATTTCCGAAAATGTTTTGGTGAGCTGAATCAAAATATCTGGCAACGGGAACCTGTTATTCTGTTCCATCTCCATCGCGAACATTGTTGAAAATCTTTTGCATCTCCCGTTCTCCAAAATTCATCCCAGGCAATTTTGTTTTATCGCCAATTTAGTCTGTCACAACTAGTCTTTGACAGAACTTCCATTCCTTAGTGTTGTTCAAGGTTACCAAACGGGTAAAGATTGCGCGTTTTTCACGGCTTCAACGTTTACTCGGATTGATGCAGAGACATTGAAGAATTCAGCTACGTGGACGTGATGTCATTGCTCCGCGGTGCGCTCAGCAATCCTCCACAGCAGAAGCCCAAGAGGATAGGGCAAGTGCTTCTGAGTGTTGAAAACGGATGGTACAGACAAGCATTCGGTCGCCCGCGGTCAAACTGATCAGACTACTTCCATTTCAGTTCTACTGGTTCAAAATGGATGAAGCCGCCGGTTCCACAGTACCATCAGTTACCTCTCACCGCCCACGATGATATTTACATACAAGAAAAACGGCCTTACACTTGAAATCGTTTCTTTCGTAGTTCAATTTGTTCGCAACTGTCTAAGTCAAATAGGTGCGCCGTGATTTTCTCGATTACTCCTTGGATTGTGACTCCGCGCCTCGTTCTCTTCTGTTTCGGCCACTTGGTTGTCCTTCTTATCTTCTTCCATGGCTTGGTGATTACTTTTCGCAACGATATCAGTATGTTAAAGACAGTCGATGGTGTTACTCAATAGTTCCGGTGAATTTCAAAATGGTGTTTTACCTCCCTACATTTTAATGACCTACATGCTACTCCCCTTTGGAAGAAATCTGAGGTAGATTGATGTGATGGCTAACTATATTCCTTTACGTAATCCATCGGAACTAGCAGAAAACAAAACAAACATATCTCGCCAATTATTCCACGTTATCCGGTTTCAATCTGAAAATCTAAGTAGCGCATTGGATGTTTATCCATGTTAAACAGTTTCCTACCCACCTTTGACAATGTACAGATTAAAAGAAAGCCGATAGGCAAGGTCTCAGATGTACTCAGATGTTGACACTTTGAAGTAACCTTCATTGATCTTTGCATGCTCAAGCTGTCGCTGACAAGCTGAAAGATCCTTCCCTCCCGATACGCCATTTTGCACCATTTCTGTTTTGATCAGTCGGTGACCGGAGCTTTTTTCAGCAGTGTTTTCTTTACCCCCC